CCGCTAACATTTCAAACTGGATTTAAGGAAGCACTTCTTTACACAGGGTGTAGGCGAAGTATGGAATAGTCTTCCTGAGTGGCGTTTCTGTTTTCAAGTTTAGTTACACGCATGACATTTGTATCCCAGGCAGTTCTGATACGTAATCTGCTATTTCTCCCGAATATCACGTAAAGGAATTAGAACTGGTTTTTAGTTAATTTATCTCGTAAAATAAAGTTTAAATAAATTACATAAATGCTCTAATAGTACACGTAAGTTAGTGGTTTATTTATTGTTAGTTACTGTAATGTTGCGCTGCTTTATTTGGTTAATCGTCCAGTCTGTGAAGAAGGCATTCAAGTAAGAATTGCATTGTAGACTGTACATGACAATAAAAACTTTGAATCCAGTCCATTGTTTATTTTTATTATTACTCTGTATTCATTAATTTGTTCGTGAATAGCAGACTTTTAGGTTGTAACATTTGTACAACTATTGCGTAACTTTTTGGTGAGCAATGGCTAACAAAATTATATAAAGTACAATGTATTACCTGATAATGCTATTTTATTGAAAATACTGTATCACCAACAAGCGCTGCTACTACAGTAAATGCGAGGCTGACACTGAAGCGTTACCTTTTGTTTCCGCTCAGAGATGTGCCGTGTGACTCATTTCCTGGCGCGTACAATTTATATTAGGTCAGCGTTCACGGTTCGACTTCTGATATTCAGATCGAGTTCTAGGTCAAACTGGTTTGTTTGACTTTCAAGAAATTCCAGTTCTAGTGAGTTCGAGAACCGAGGTACTACTGTACTTTCTTGAAGCACCTTTTGATTTAAATACAGTCTTTTTGGATCAGCAGACCACATCTTGCCTACTCTTCCTTGCAAAAGCGCACCAAATCTGACAGATTGTGAGGGCATCTATTGTGCACAGCCCGCTTCAGGTTACCCCACAGATTTTCAAATGGATGTTGGTTTGGGCTCTATCTGGGCCATTCCAAAACTTTAATTTTCTTCTGGTGAAGCCATTCTTTTGTTGATCTGAATGTATGCTAGGGGCCATTGTCGTGCTTAAAAGGTGAAATTCCTCTTCATCTTTCTAGCAGACACCTGAAAGTATCAGGCCAAAATTGACTAGGATTTGAAACTGTTCATAATTCCCTCCACCTTCACTAAAGCCTCAGTTCCAGATGAAGAAAATCAACCCCAAAGCATGATGCTGCCACCACCATGGGTATGGTGATCTTTTGGTGATGTGCAGTGTTGTTTTTGCACCGAACATACCTTTTGGAATTGTGGCCAAAAAAGTTCACCCTTTATTTTTCTAGAGATGCACCGATTGCAATTTCCTTGGCCGATTACAATTTTTGATTTTTTATGCAAGTATCACCTGCCAATGCTGATTTTTGCTGATTTTCTTTCTAAAAACTATAATTCAGCATAAACAAAAAGAAAAAAAAAAAAAAACTTTTCTTCAATACATTTTTTTTCATAATAAAAGAAAGTTACATTTTTAAATTTCCCCCAAAGTTACAGGATCTTCTCCCACTTAAAAATATAGTGTGCTCTGAGACTGGAAAGAGATACCAATAACGATCAACTTGAGTTGCTGTACATCCAACTTTATGTGCCATATTTTACTTTGCCAAACAAGAGCAGGTACAACAGATTTAAATAAAACAAATGTCAGTTACTCATAATTTCCCAGTATGTTTAAATTCACCAGATAACACAACAATGACCTCTTTTTTTTTAATTTTAAGATGAGTGGGGGGAAAAAAGAAAGTCCATATTTTACAAACCTGCAAATAAAACTGAAGTGTAGGTGTAGGGTATTATTAATACCAACATCACATGTTATGCACATACAATTCTTACATTGTCAGTAAGCTAGGTTAAGATCAGGCTTTTTCATAGATTCATACTCTACGTTTTTACTGTCATAGGAAAAATCCTTAGCTAGCTTTGCAATTTCAACGATTATTTTCAAGATCATCTAATGTATGTTTAATAATCAATTTAAAGTTTACTTTTGATGTTTCATCATGTTTTCGTGGTGGTTCCCCCATGGTTTAATTTGGCTTTACATGTATTACAAACTGCAAACTTTGTGTTGTCTTCACTCACAGTGGAAAACGTCCATACTAATGACATGTTAGCATGTGGCTATGAGTGCGGATGCAGCTGTGAGGCTATTTCCTGCACTGTTGTGCATATGACGATGTGTGGCGTATTTGTAAAACAGGCCGGTTCGATATCAGAAATACATGAGACTGACCAGCCAGTCTCCAGTCCGTGCTGAGCAAACTGAAAATCAGCAGATTCTGGTTTCTGGCTGATTGGTGCATCTCAAACATTTTTCCACATGCTTTTGGGAGACTTGAATTTTTTTTTTGCTAAATTTAGCCGGGCCTGGATGTTTTTCTTTGTTAGACAAGGCTTCCATCTTGTGACCCTACCCCAGGGTCCAGAGTACCCTGGAGAATACAGGAGATTGCGGTCAGAGTAGCACACAACCAGTACTTGCCAGAAATTCCTGCAGCTCCTTCAGTGTTGCTGTAGGAGTTATTGTAGCCCCCCTGACCGCTTTAATCATCTTGTCTTTTCATGAATTTTAGAGACGTTCAGTATTCAGTAACGCCACTATTGTCCCATATTTTCTTCACTTCCTGATGACCGTCTTCACTATGTTCCATGGTATATCTAATGCTGTGGAAAAAAAAATTCTACCCTTATCCTGACTGATACCTTTCAACAATGAGATCCCTTTCATGCTTTGTAAGCTGATCACAAAAAGACCTACAATGTGATCAACTTAGATTTCCAGAAGGGATCTGATGTTGTCCCCTTGGACCAAAAACTGGTTAACAGACAGGACACAGTGA